TTATAACTAGTAAGCTTGCTCGTATTAATAAAAATTCTCAATAAATGTAATATGTAAATGCTTTGTGTTTCTAAATAAAAGTAGACACCATTATTTAATTCGCAGGAAAATGAATAGGAACGACCTATAATTAAGACATGACGTAGGTACATAGAACTCGACATCATATATGTAATTTAATGCATCTCCGAGGTTACTTAGAAACATCTAGAAACTATAGGTTGTTTGTTTTAAACACCGTACCTTAGGAGTGGGTGCTTTCCATTTAGAGCGGCAATTTAAACAAAATTTTATCATAAATTATAGAAATCACATGTTAAACTTATGTGTGCTAAATTGCATCTAAACCCGTCAATCGGTATATGCGTGATTGAGTAACAAACATACAAACATCTTCATTTACGTATTCTTCATTTGGCTTTCACGTACTCTCTTATAATACTGCGGACTACCTTATTACTATTCGTAAAATTTTATAGAGGTGCGAATTGACAGGAAGTGAATTCATTTATATATATTTAAGTTGTATTTTTGTGTTTAAATCTAACACTTCTTCTTTTAAAGTACTTATGACTTCTCTTCATAGAATTCTGCAAGTTTCAAGTCAGTCATGGGAGGGAAAAGTAAATAATTATTATATTAAGGGTTTGTGACTGCCTCGTTGGTGTAGCTGTTGTAGTAGTGCGACTGCTGATCATGAGGTCGCGGGTTCGAACCCCGGGTCGGGCCAAAAAAACCAACTATTGAGTTTTTCCATCAAAAATTCTCAGTATTTGCTCGGAGTCAGCAAGTTGGCAGTGCCTCACCCCCGTGCCTCGGAAAGCACGTAAAGGCGTTGGTCCTGCGCCTGATCTCTCGCCGGTCGTGTCATCGCGCATACACTAGTGCACTATAATCCTGTACTGCGCCGATGGCTAGTCTCCGTTGAGGCTGGCCGCCGTGACCGTAATTCGATCTGAAGGATATTATTATTAATATTAATAATATAATCAAATAATAATAATAAAATCTCCAATGACTGTACACAGTACTAGCTGGTACCCGGCGCGTTTTTGACGCAGTAGAAATAATTGTGGAGATATCGTTTTAAATTTGGACAAGTTATATTGTTTAATTATAGACGTCGGGGGAGTTGCTAGAAGACTACAAATTTACTCCATAACAGAATAAAAAGTAAAGTGATATGAAGTTTCAGCTTATATGCGTCCTACTGCTGGGCACAGGCCTCCTCATTTCTGAGTGGATTTTAGGGCAAAGAAATGCTCGAAGCGCTGCCTCAATGCGTGTATGCGGATTTCACAGACTTCGAAATATTTAAGGTGTAGGTTTTCTTCACAATGTTTTCCTTCACCACCGATCACTTGGTTATCGGCACTTAAAATTGCAATTAACAGTTTAATTTGTGAGGACGAGGATCGAACCCGTGTTGCTCGCGTGTTGTGAAATTTACAGCGAGCGCGTAGCCCTTGAGCTACCACAGCTCTCAAGTAGCTGTATTTAACAATTAAAAACATGTCCGCTCCCATTTTGAACACACTTATACGTAAACAAAGATAAAACCATTCACATGTCAGAATCAGAATTCACAAGTGCAAAGACAACACACTGCGGTCCTCCCGGTTAACCGGTGGAAAACGGTACTCGGTGGAGTGCTTGTCTTAATTTTAGTGTTGCAAGTACTCCGAGTATTGACATTTTTGTGGGACTTAAAACTTAGATATTTTTACAGAATAAGGGTGATAAACGAGCGCGCAGTCCACCTCAGTCCACCTGATGCCTAGTAGACGCTGTGGCCCAAAGGCATCTAACCTCGACTAATTATCAAAATGTAGATGCGATATCACCCCTGAGGACTAAGATGAAGTGCCTCGTTACATGTAAATGGGGTCTCCGGTTCTTTACAGTCACAGTTTTTTTTTCGCTAGTATTCAATGAAAGCTTGGGCCTTCTCCCTTCCGTGACCTCTTCCGTGAACCCTTCCGTGCTGCAACCATAATATAGCTGCAGCGTGACCCTGTACGGTGGCCACTCTAATAGTTATAGGAATGGTTGTAGCGCGTTTGTGGTGAAAATAAAAGAATTACAGCGCGTGAAGTGAAAGAGGATACTACAATAAAACATTATACTTTCTCAAATATTATTTTCTCAATATTAATGTTGCCATATAATGCAACAAATTCTACCACGTAAATCTGTTGTATATAAAATTGTATTCTGTCTGTATATGAGTTTGAAATTTAGATATAAGATAAATTTAATTAAGACTGCCGACACCCGCCCGTAACACCGCGATTGCACTCTTGAACATTGGCTTCTCTCATTGTAGGAAAAATTTGCTTCAATCGCCATTCTTTGTAAGCGATTTAACGACCACAGTGCCAGATTTATCGTACCATGAGTTTGGGCACTTACATCCGGCACAATATTTTATTTTTATTTATTTATCCTTAATCGTCTCTCTTTTTCGAAATCTTTTCACCGTCACCATAGGTGCGGGATCCAAGCCATCTATTAAAGAAGTTGTAAAATTAAAAATTTTGTACAACCCAAAATGAGAATTGTAATGTAATGTAGTTAAAGTCAATTAAATACTCATTATTAAGGATAACTCAAAAACTACTGGTCAGATCTCGATCAATTTTATATGGGGCCACATGAGAAGCACCAGCTTTCAAATGAATAAAGAATCATCAAAATCGGTTCACCTAGAAAAAAGTTCTGAAAAAGAATACGGTTGAATTGAGAATCTCCTCCTTTTTTTTGAAGTCGGTCGAGAAACGCATGAAATTTAACTCTTTATTGTCGCATTTCTATAAAACAAAATGGTGTCCCCTCGGCTTGAGTGCGTCGTCGGGGACATATTATAATAACGGTACCAACTTTTATGAAATTTAAGTGGCTTTTTAAATTGAGAATTTTCTAGAAAGTGACAAAGACTTTATACTCCTCTATAAAATTACAACTTGATACTTTTACGTAAAACTTAACATTTTACGACTATATAAAAGTTGGACATTTTAATTGATTTCGAAATGGCGAAATCTCGATTAAGTTCAGAAATGTTGATTGAAGTGTTCAATGGTGACGGTGAAAATTCACACGTCGCCGTCAAATTATGTATTTTTGATTGTAAAATGGTAAATTCGTTCGTGTTTCACCGTTATGTCAACTAATAGCACGCATCGGACTTCGATAAATATTGAGAAGTGGCAGTGTCGTTATGTTTATTTGCTTTCGCGCCAGTTTTCGAACGCAACTGTTCTGTTAACTTGTATCTGTATCTTTTTTTTTTTACTTTTGTAATGGTCTCGTACTGTTGTTCATTTGCCAGTATCAAGTAATAAAAAATTATTCATAATAATAATTTGTTTAGAAATTTCTTTACAATATATTGATGCTTACTACTACTAGTAAGCTGAAGTGGCAATGGGCCGGCCATATAGCTCGAAGAACCGACAACCGATGGGGAAGAAAGGTTCTCGAGTGGCAGCCTCGTACCGGCAGGCGAAGTGTAGGGCGTCCCCCCACTAGATGGAGTGACGACCTGGTAAGATATGCAGGAAGTCGATGGGTGCAGGTGGCTCAGGACCGTGCTTTGTGGCATTCTTTGGGGGAGGCCTATGTTCAGCAGTGGACTTGTGAAGGGCTGTAATGATGATGATGATGATATTGAATCGTCACATTGTGAAGCTTTTTAGAGATTTTGACCGCAGCTTGAGCCAGCAGCCGGTCGATGACGATAGTATTATATCTCAAGGTACCTAAGAAACAAACAAACACATTATCTTATCTCACCAGGTGGGATTGTGGTCAAGCACTGGCTTATAGGAAGTAAAAAAAAAAAAAGGTTCACATCCCAGTCGGAGCACTTGTTTCATAGTTTCTCTGCAACCAACCTCGCACAAAAAATTACAGATTCGTTGTAATCTTACAGGACTAAGATAAAAAACCACAACAGCGTCACCATATATATACCTATTTATTAATATGTATGTTTATTTTATTATTATTTTTTATGTATTATTGTGGTATTTTAACAAAATATAGTTTAGTTTATTTAGATATTAGTATGTAAGTGTAACATAAAGCGCACCACCTCCTACTGTTCTTAATTCCAGTTTCTCTTTAGCCCAAAGGTTGTCTGGAAGAGATCGCTCTTTAGCGATAAGACCGCCTTATTGTACATACGTATATATTAAGTTTTCTCTGTAATGTATTTATTCGTTGTATATGTGTGGTGTACAATAAAGTATATACTACTACTACTACTAACCGGTCCAATTGTGAATCTAAACTATCCAGGGACCCAATCAGACGGGAAGAGTTCAGTGACACACACACACGTATAGAATAATGATATTTATAAAGATTCTGGTGTGCGTGTGTTCGTAATTCTTCTCCTCCGAAACGGCTTGACCGATTTTGATGAAACCTTGATGGGGTACTCACGGCGTCACCTGAATGTTTCTTAGCCATATCTGGACCCGGTAGGTGGTTCTGTTGTGGACATCCAGAAATCACCCTTGCTAAGCTTGGCCAGCTACTACCATATAAAATGCAACGGACGGATGATCGGTTGCTTAGCGGTAGAAATATGTATGTAAGAGGGTGGATTAATGACGGGCTTGCACGGAACGCGGTGATCACGCTGCAGCTGTATATCACGGCTTGACCGGGGTACGACACCCTCTCACAGAATACCAGCCTAATGCTGCTGTGTTTCGTAGGATGATTGACAAAAACTGAATACACTTCTTACTGGCAACAAGGCTTCATTAGTAATCAAGGGCGTCTGAGCTTATCATCATGCACATGCATATCGATTTTTGATCGAGAATAAATGTAGATGTCTATGGGCCACAGCATCCATTTACCGTCAGGTGGACTGTTTTATTTTTCAGTTTTTATTTAAAACTTATTTTTTATGTTTTTTACGCGTTTTTACCACCCGTACGTCGGGTCTGCCACCACTTGCCCCCCTGATATTGCTACTCCCGCAGTCGCTGATGCGGACGGCCACCACCGAGCAGCGCTGGCAAGACCTCGCATCCCTGTTGACCATACCGCCGCCGCCTGAGCAGTACCACCAGCATTATCACCAGCACCCGCATAACATCAGGTGAGGAGTAATTAATTTAAACTGCAATATATAAGGAATCAAAAAATAGTGGGTAGAAACTACTACATTTTAACAAATCTTAATATAGCGTGAGGTAGTTAATAATGGATAAAAACTGCAAAAAATAATGCCTTAAAAAATATATATAATTTGAAATACTACATGTTTTAGATTTTTCGTCATCTACTTTATTTTTAAAGGCAATACTTTAATAATATTGTATTTGATATAAAGGCTGGGAACCCTAATAACAACTTGTTATTGGCGTTAAGCATTATTTCAGAATTTCTGTTTATATTTTATGACTTACTGTTGGTTCTATGATCAATAAAAAATTTAAAAAACCCTCATATTCTAGCCATCCATCTATTCAGCCTATAAAAGTCCACAGATGGACTTAGCTCTCCCTAATAATGAGCAGCCAAAGCTTCTTTTTTATGTTTATTTTATAGAAATAGAGTGGTATACGAGCACGCTGTCCATCTGATGGTAAGTGGATGCTGTGGCCCTTAGATATTTATCTTCAATTGAGGAATAAAATGCAGATGCGTTGTCATCCCTGAGGACTGAGATGGAATGTCTCGTATCCAGTAAAAAGTGTCTCCGGTTCCCCCCTACACTCACCATATGAAACACAGCAGCATTAAGCTGCTATTTCTTACTTTATATTTTGTGTGGTCAAGTCTGTGCCAATTACCTTGGTTTTCACGCAGTTTTCTTCACTTAGAATCTTATCTACCAGAAAGTCTCCGAGCATAGTTTGTAATAGGACTACGCCTGTACTAAAAGTGAATCGAGAGTATTCTAATGGCAGATTCGAACCTTGCTATCCCGTCTTCCCTTCGCTCGCTGAGTTGAATTTTTTTCTTTTAAACTAGGTTACATACACTATCATTTATTTGTATGCAACTTTAAGAACTTCAACCATAAATAAAACTATTTTGTTTACTCTTTTCAGTGCCCATGGAGCTGCCTCAGGCTACGCACCCAACTATCATGCACCTATCGCGCCAGTCCCTGAAAAACACCCGGAGATCTATGGTATGTATTATATTTTATTATTTATACGCGGTAGAGCCATGCTGCAGTTATATTAATTGTATAGTTGTAGCACGAATTGGTCGGCTCGACCGGGGAAGGACCACGCTCTCACAGAATACCAGCGTAAAATAGTGACTTAATGCTGCTGTGTTTTGTATGGTGAGTGTAGAAAACCGGAGACCCTTTTTACTGGAAAAGAGGCATTCTATATTAGTCCTCAGGGGTGACAACGTATTTGCATTTTAATTCGCAAACGAAGATAGATGTAGATGTCTATGGGCCATAGCAACCACTTACCATCAGGTGAACTGTGGGCTCGTTTGTCATCCTTATTCTATTAAAAAAATATTTGTAACAAAGTCCTATGAAATATACAAGGTACTGGGTAGGCACCACCATCTTATCCCTTTTCTGCCACAAAGCAGCAGTATATATATGGGTTACAAGCGAGCACACAGTCCACCTGATGGTAAGTGAATGCTTTCGCCTATAGACATTTGTTCTCAAAGAATCAAAATGTAAATGAGTCATCAACCTGAGCACTAAATAATGCTCTTCGATTCCCTACACTCGCCATACGAAACACAGCAGCATTAAGCTGCTATTTAACGCTGGTATTCTGTGAGAGCGCGTTTCCCCGGTCGAGCCACAATATAACTGTAGGATGGCTCTACCACGTATAGAGAACCTGCATAACTACGGACTGTGAGGTATTCTATCTTAGTCCTCAGATATAGACAACACATCTGTAGCCCTCTTTTTTTGAAATCGGCTGCAGGCGCCCATGGATTGCGGTAGCAACTTAAATAAGGCTACTGAAATTTAGATATATAGACCCTTCACAAGTCCACTGTTGAACATAGACCTCCCCCATGGAAAGCCACAAAGCACGGTCCTGAGCCACCTGCATCCATCGACATCCTGCTTGTCTTACCAGGTCGTCACTCCATATAGTGAGGGGGACGCCCTACACTTCGCCCACCGGTTCGATAGACAGATGATAACACTTTATTGTCATATACGCCAAAAATATAAATACTAGTTGGTCAGGTAGACGTTGTTTTGCCATCTCCCTTTGTCACTTTGTCCTATAAAAAGTCCTGAAATTTGTTTTTTTTTATTGAGGGTCGCTTATTGGGATAAAAACTATTTTATCTCTCAAGTTGGACCAAACTGCGCACAGAGTGCAAAATTTCATTGAAATCACTTCAGTAGTTTAGGAGTTCATCGCAGGCAAACAATGTGACACGAATTTTTTTTATATGAAGATAAATAAAACCAAAGGAGCTAGAACTAGAGCTAGGGCTAGAAATGTGGTACAACGGGTGGTCTTATCGCTAAAAGCTATTTCTTCCATACAACCTTGAATGGACGGGATTGTAAGAGAACAATAAAAACATGTGTGTGGTTTGGCGAAAACGATACTATTATTTTGATTAGTTAATATAAATGGACTAGCGACCCGCCCCGGCTTCGCACGGGTGATTTCTGGATATCGACAATAGCGTCAATACCGGGTCCAATTGTGAATCTAAACCATCCAGGAACCCATTCAAAAGCACACAAAATATTTAACCTAGGAGCTATACTTTCAAAGTTTAATTCTTTTTATTTTTTAAAACCCCCGCACTGCCGTTTGTAGGTGGAATTTCATAAAATCCGTTCTTGGTAATTTTGAACATGCCACAAACAATATTCTGGGCAAGTTTTATACCTACAAGCTATAGATATAGTTTGAAAATGTGATTTTTTTTTAATTAACGCCCCCGCAACCTGTTCGTAAATTGCGGGTAGAATTACGTAAAATCTGTTCTTAGCTAACCTCTACTCGGCGACAGAAATATTCCTACCAAATTTCAAGTCTAGACCATATGGTTTCAGAGATATCGATATGAGTCAGTACAAAGGTGGAAATCTCTTATATATATATATAAGAGGACTGTAATTTCATCAACAACAGCAAATCTTTGGCATTCTTTGTTAACGAAGTCCATGGATTCCAGTGGGCCTTTATTTGGACATGTATTTTATATATTTTCTGCTTGAATATAAAATTTTTAAATTTCCTTTATTGACAGGCGCCGCCGCCCCGCTAGAGGGCGCTTATAAAGTGGAATCCGCTCATCACCCCCAGCAGCACGATGGTCTCTACTACCAGGTAATATTTTTTTTTATAAAACTTGCAAGTGATATACGAACCTACTGTCCACCTGATGGTGAGTGGCTAATGCAGTCAATGAACGTCTGCAGCCAACTTAAAATAAAAAAGGCTATATGTGTTGACAACTCTGAGGACCTATAAGGCCCAGTGTGCCCAGTTGCAGTCACTCGAGAGTTTTTTTTATAGTATAGGGTGACAAACGAGTACACAGTCAACCTGATCAAGAATCAAAATGAAGATGCGTTGTCAGCCGTGAGGACTAAGATAGAATGCCTCATTTTCAGTAAAAAGGGTCTCCGGTTCTCTACACTCACCATACGAAACACAGCAGTGTCAAGGTGCCACTTTACCCTGGTATTCTGTGAGAGCGTGGTCCTTCCCCGGTCGAGCCGACCCATTCGTGCTACAACATACTGCTAATATAGCTGCAGCATGGCTCTACCACGTATAACAGTGCGATGAAAAGGGTTATGTTTTTAATTTCTCTGCGGGATGAAGTCCGTAACGAGTAACTAACATACGAATACCATGAAGGAAAGTCAAGGCATAACATAATATTGAGGTTTTTCTGACAAAAAAATTTCAGCAGTAGGCTGAAATTAGTAAAAATCGTCGTGTTTGCACCTGATCTCTGTATCCGGTCATGACGTATCTCCGTCCGATGGGAATAGAGAGTGCACCTGTGCTTTCTTATTTATAGATAGACGACAATTTGATGGTTATACAATTGCAACTAGAAATAACCATACAACTTGCCCGTTTCATTGTAATAAATACAGGCCGTGAGGCGTTCCATCTTAGTCCTCAGAGGTGACAATGCACCTGTAGCGTTCTTTATTTGAAGTTACTTGCAGATGTCCATGGACTGCACTAGCTGGTTGCAAATGAGCAAGAGAGCTGCAGCAGCTAGTTTCCCAATTTATTCTTTAAAAAATATTGAGCATTTGTTTCTTTCTAAAATCAGAGTATGATTGAAGCGAGCACACAGTCCACCTGATGGTAAGTAAATGCTGGGGCCCATAGACATCTACATTTATCCTCAATTAAGAATGAAAGTGCAGATGCGTTGCCACCCGTGAGGACTAAGATGGAATGCCTCGTTTCCAGTGAAATGGTCTCCGGTTCTCTACACTCACCATACGAAACACAGCAGCATTAAGCTTCTATTTTACGCTGGTATTCTGTGAGAGCGTGGTCCTTCCCCGGTCGAGCCGACCTATTCCTGTAGTAGCCATAATATAGCTGCAGCGTGGCTCTACCACGTTAAAGTTATTAGTTTATTTTTAACATTAAAGTGTGTTTTCTTAGAATTCGAGTGCGGAGATGGCGCCACCGACGAATCAAGACGGCTTCTTACAGTCAATCCTCAACGATGAAGACCTGCAGCTCATGGACATGGCAATGAACGAAGGTAGGTCAATTTATTTCTAACTAGCGCATGGTTGGGCTTAATTTGGGTGAATTTATTTTAGAAGAAAAAAAACGTGTGTGTGTGTGTGTACTTATGTACGCACGTAGGTAGTTATACTTCTTTAGCTCAACAAAACAAAAATAACTAAAATAACTACATTAAATATTTAAATTTAAATATTAGTTCCCACGAAAAATTGAGAGACAGTTACCCACTGAAGTCGCTTTGAGGTGTCAGTGTGCGAGCGTATGTTAAAAACTTCATGGTATCGGTTTTAGCTGTCGGTGTGGGCGCACATCATAAAAAATTCACTCAAATCATTTTTCTCAAACGCCCCAAAAGAAATATAACTTCAAAAATCCGGGAAATGTTCCAAATATTTATCTTTCACAAACATTATTTATCTGTATCAATCGAGACACAATATGCAAGTGACAATGTATCATTATCAACAATATTCCTGAACAAGTGCACTGCTGAACATAGGCCTTCCTGCAAAAAATGGTACAAGCACCTGCATCTATCGACATGTCGGCCACCTCGTGAGTCAGGTCCAGATATTTTGTTTTCTTAACTGCTTCGGCTTTCACGAGGTTCTCGTCATAGGGAATGGTAATGTCGACCAAAAATATCCTTGACTGTGCCCGGTCCATCAGCACAATATCAGGCTTATTCGCAAGAATAGTCCTGTCTGTGATGATGGCCCGGTCCCAGTAGAGCCTGTCGCGATCATTTTCGAGCACGGCTTCCGGTAAGTTCCAAACCACGAGACCGTATTTCAGAGCGTGCTACTGGTGTAGAATCCTGGCTACTAGATTGTGCCTGTGCAAGTTAGAAAGCACCGAACAACCAGAGATGACACGCTTAAGTATCAGCTCGACAGATGTCGACGGTGCCATCCTTTAGGATGTATCTCCGATAGTTGTTGGTCTTAATAACCTGATCCTGTAGGATCCTGTGGAGCGAGGCAACTGTATCTACGAAAGGCTCATGAAAACCCATGTAGAACCTTCTGTGAAGCTCTCTCTCCTTCCATACGGTCTCCCGGTCGGAAATGCACTGTACTGCCGGGTCTTGCCATTGCTCGTTGGCTAAGGAACTGTATGATACAGTCCTACTCCCCGTGGTGTTAATATAGTTTATGTTTTTAGTTTTAGTGTTTTTATTATAGTTTTTTTTTAATATTGTATATATTTCAATGTTAGGTAAATAAATCAATTTAAATACTATTTTAAATACATATAAAAAAATGTAAAATAAATGAAAACTACAACCAGCAGCAATAGCATGCGAATACCCTCTGAGCTTAGTAGAAGCCAGATATTTCATTATTACAGACATACACTTCAATTTTATTTATTTGTATAGATCTTAATGCAAACTGTTATTATCCTTAGCATGTTGTAAATAGTTAATATCATTGTCGTCGCACTGCAATAGATTGTTATATTGCAATTGTTTGATTTATTTAGAGGACGTCATAGAGTTTTAAGATCATATTCTACGGTTTTTATTAAGTCATGTTATGTTTACCGTGTAGTGGCGGTGTAAGAATATCCACTACCCCATATTGTCCCATGAGTGTCGTAAGAGAGAATAGAGGGAAACTGAAACAGAAGAAGAGCAGCAGCGTCTTCTTACTAACAACTAAAATAAATTGCGGCTGCTAACCCGCCTACCAAGCGAATATGCGTCGATCTATGGGGGCGGGCTATGTTCAGCAATGGAGTTTTGACAGGCTGTAAAGGCAATTTTTGTAATGTTAACACTACATCAAAGTATCGGTCCTTATAAGTTTAATTGCCGGGCACAGGTCACCTCTTACTCAAAAGAGAGTTTAGCTTCAGTGAGAGAGAGAGAGTGAGAGAGATCAGAAGAGAGTGACAGAGATCAGAATAAAGGGAGAGAGGGATAGAGATCAGAAGAGGGAGAGAATGCTCCGTTCAATTTGTGGTGGCAATCTTTGTGTGGCTTCGATATATTTTTTTTAATTTCTCAGTCGTAAACTCAGACCGACGAAGAAACCTTTACGTACAATTCAAGTGACGCCGAAACCATGCTCAACCTATAGAATAGACTAGAATCATTTATATTCAATATAGATTACACGAATACTGATTGAAAGTTATATAAGAAGTACCAGCAAGAAACCTAGCGGGACCTTTTTTTACATTAATTTACAATATATTATTTTATACAATTGTTAGGAAAACATTTAGAAACAGCATGGTAGCGATCACCTCATTCCCAGGGGTTATTATCAGTCATGTACTCTTTAGTAGTATAATAACCATTACTAGACAATTTTTGCTTGATAAATAGTTTCAACTTATTGATAAGTACACATATGCTAAATTATTTCACTACTTTACTGTACGCATTTATTTAGTAATTAATTAATAATATAATTTAAACGTATGAGTAAAACTAAAGTGGTCTGTCTGTAATATCGAAAAAAACCTGCCTTTTATTGAGCTGAGGGGGTTATTTGCTTGCCATGCGTAAACATATTTAAATTGTCGTGTCGGAATGGCTGAACCGATTGTAATGAAATTTCACGAACAGATAGCAATGCTAGGAGTGATCTAGCCTATATTTTATTTTAAATATTTGGAGAATATTATGAAAACACAAGTTTTTTTAATCAATAGATGTTACCCAGGCGAAGTCGAGGCGAGTTGCTAGTAATTATCTACCCTTTATGAATTTTTTTTTCTTATTTCTCAGACATGCAGGTTTCCTTACGATGTTTTCCTTCACCGCCGATCACGTGGTAAATCAGCACTTAAAATTTTTCAATTAATAATTTCGGTTCGAGAGATCGAACCCGGGTTGCCCGCGTACTGTGAAATTTACAGCGACCACTAACCACGGCTCTGTCATTATACATGGTAATGCATTATTTTAACTGATTGTCATTCATAAATATCTAACGCCTACTGTTTTACTACGCACACACACATTCGTAAGGGTCGATTGATCGGCAAAAACGTTGTGAATTGAAACGCACACAGAGGAGCGCACGTTCGCGTATTTGTTGCCCATAAATCACATTCAATTTGGGATAATCAAAAATAAAAATGGAAGCCTTATTAACTCGAATTGTATGTAATTGTAATAACTACAATAACGGTCTATCACTGTTTCTATATTAGATCTTAAATTTGAAATTTGGCTACTCTTAAAAAAATCAAAAAAAGCATATATATAGTATAATACGTTTTTATACGAGGAAGAGCCATGTTGCAGCTATATTAGTAGTATATTTGTAGCACGAATGGGTCGGCTCGACCGGGGAAGAACCACGCTCTAACAAAATACCAGCATAAAATAGCAGCTTAGCACTGCTGTGTTTCGTATGGTGAGTGTAGAGAACCGGAGACCCTTATTACTGGAAAAGAGGCATTCCATCTTAATCCACACGGGTGACCACGCATCTGCATTTTGATTCGCAAACGAGGATAGATGTGGATGTATATGACCACAGCAACCACTTACCATCAGGAGGACTGTGTGTTCGTTTGTCACCCTATCCAATAAAAAAAATTACAAGTAAGCAGAACTTGTTTATGTGAAGAAGTTTACATTATCTCAATCACGCTGTAGGATTTAGATGTTTCCTTCCTCGCACGACTTCCTTGTGGAATCGATTACCATCAGCGATTTTTCCGGACCGATACGACTTAGGGACCTTCAAGAAAAGAGCCTACTCCTTTTTAAAAGGCCGGAAACACATCTGCAATTCCCTCCCTGGTGTTGCAGTTGTTCATGGGTGGCGGTAGTCACTTACCATCAGGTGAGCCGCACGCTCGTTTGCCCCCTCTCCTATAATAAAAAAGGAATATTTAAAGTAACTTATAATAATGATTCCGTTGAGATAAATGAACCATTATTTTGTAAGATAAAAACACGTCAGTAATATTACGTCAACAGATAAAAGGAGAAAGAAAGTTATATAAAGGTATGTTAAAAACTTTTATGGAAACCTTCAATATAAGATTTAAATCTCATATTAAGGTTCCAGACCTGTGATGCATACGCAAGAATAGATCGTATAAATGAACAGTAAAGAATTTTCACCGTTTTTCGGCTGTTGAAGGTACAAGAACAGCGGGTAACCAATCCCATGGCTTTAAAAGCCCCATTTGTAATGTTAGATATGCTGTCATAGATAAACTTAGTCTTATATTACTCCAAGGTCACAGGCCTTGTGTCTTAAAACTTACTATTCTCCAAAAATACTTCATATTTTAGCAATCGTGGTTTTAAAACAATTTTTATAGTTTTACTAAAAAACATTATGCTACGTTTAAACCAAAAGTTACATAAATAGGTACCTACATGTATATATGAGCTCTCACGTCTGCTACTCGGATCTCGGATGGGTAGGCAGTGACTACCTACTTCCATTTGGCACGATCCTAACACCTCTCCCTCTCGCTTGTTTACATCCATATATCTACGCCTACACGCTCGTCGTCAAACGACGTACGCACTTATTCTGCCATTCACGTCTGCAGTATAAATTTGCTTTGTCACTCTTTCCTCATTCATTCTTTCTACGTGACCAAACGGCACTTTTCTCCAATGGGTCGGCTCGACCGGGGAAGGACCACGCTCTCACAGAAAACCAGTGTAAAATAGCAGCTTAACGCTGCTGTGTTTCGTATGGTGAGTGTAGAGAACCGGAGACCCTTTTTACTGGCAAAGAGGCATTCCATCTTAGTCCTCACGGGTGACAACGCATCTATATCTTGAGTCTTTATTGAGGATAGATGTAGATGTCTATGGGTCACAGTAACCACTTACCATCAGGTGGACTGTGTGCTCGTTTGTCACCCGATCCTATAAAAAAAATCACACAATTTTTACCCTTTTCAGAGTCACACCTTACATTCATCTTAATGACCGCATTTCTACACAATTAATTTTATTCTCATGTTTCTTCTGCCATACCAAACTTCACTACCATCCATTAAAGTGGTTACTAAGACATTACA